GATGCTGTTAATATTTTTTATCTTCTATTGTTGTCACTGACCTATTGTCTATTGTTTATTTTTTTTCTTCTCGAGCCGAGGGTCTTTCGGAAACAGCCTCTACCCCTCTGGGGGTAGGGGTAAGGTATGCGTGCACTCTATCCTCACCAGACCCCACTTGTGGGATTATACTGGGTTGTTGTTGTTGTTGTTGTTATTGCTTTTGAATCCATTTATTTCTGTTGTAATCTTATATAGAAATGCTTTGTTGGTTAAGCTGTTGGTTTGGAAATACAAATGCTTGCTTCAGTTTTCGCCAGAATGGTTTTGCACCCTTCACCTAGTATATTAAAAAGAAGGGTTGGGGTTTAACCATACCAACTAGGTGGGCTGTTCACAAGTGAATTAGTTTCCTCATGTTTGTTCCTCATCCCTTAACAGGTTCTAGGAATTGACTCGCAGATATTCCCATGCATGGATATTGAGGTGGAGTAAGGAAGGACACGGGTGGGTGGCTTGGGGGGGGGGGGGGGGGGATGATAATTAGGAATTTTATTTGAAAAGATGTTTTGAATCATTCTTTTATAATTTAGTTACTTTGAAGTTTGGATAATCTGGTAAAGAATCACATATTCTCTAAACATCATGTATTCGGGAATTTCTTTTTCTATCTGTTACTTTATTTTAGGACGTACAAGGCTTATTCGAATTCTAATTTTCTCCATTTATTTCTTGGAGAGAGAACACTTAATTGTCCTGTTGTCCCTTAAATAGACTGGTCACTGTGTTTAGAATCAAGTTGTTCAGTTGTCTTCCCTTGCAAGTATGAGATATACGTTGACTGTTAGATATATTCATGGTTGTGCATGAGAGTGATTGTGTGTTTGTTCTTTGCCTCCTCCATGTCCTATCTATGTTGCTATGTCTATTTGAGGTGATATATTCTTTTTTACACTTGCTTCTAACAACTTTGTTCACTATAGGCGATTGATGAAGCAGAAGACGAATGGAGTCAACATAATGCTAAGAAGCTCATAGATACAAGTGCAAAGGGGTTGCGGGCTTCAATCCCAAAAGATTTTCCCTATTTCCATGTCGAATTTGGCCTAAACAAGGGGTTTGTTCATGTAATCGATGACGAAAAACAGTTCAGCAGCAGTTTTGGCATCAACGTTATAAGAGGGATGCTGAAGCCGCCTAAGGACATGCATCAGCGTCGGCAGCATGAATCAATGGAGACACAAATACAAGCTGTGGCAAGTTTTTCCCGAGTTTGGGAGCCTTTTGACTGGACTAAACAGCTCGACTGACTAACACGCGGCATCTGACTGAAGTTAGCAGTACAGATGTATAATATCTGCACTAAGAATATAATTCATAGGAGTATATTATGTCTTTTCCTTGTAAATGTAATTTCCATGCTGAGGTACGCGGCTAGTTAATATATTTTCGCATTTTGATTACACAGTTATGCATTTTAACTGGACTAAACAGCTACTGCCTAGCATCTTGCATTTGACTGAAGTTAGCACTTAGCAATGCAGATGTATGCATGATATCTGCACTAAGAACATAAATGTATTATCTGTTTCTTATTTCACCTGTGAATATATTATCTCAATGAAGTACGAGGATGATGATTGAAGTGAGTTCATTGTCCATCGAGTTTCAAGTTAGAAGGGATTTCCAGTTATAAAAAAAAGGGAGAATTACGCTTCTTATCTCTTGGCCCAACCCGTCAGAAAATGACCCACGTTTGAAGCTCTTACCTAGTGTAGCCTAGGTTGTACATTACTTGAAAATTATTTTTTACCAGTTAGCCCACCCTCTTTTAATTATTTTTTTTCTCTTTGTTCTTTTTTCCGTGTCACGACTTTGCACCCTAAAATTTTTCTACCATTGTTATTCTCCAATTCTTCTTCCAGATTCAAAGTTGATAACCACTATTTGGGTGAAGAAGAAAAAAAATACGTAAAAGAATTAGTTTTTTGGAGTCATATGAAGATCACTTCCTCCATTGGAATGGGGAAATCTCTGTTTATTGTCATGCTCTAAAGAGTTTCACTTAGTAGGTTGTTGGATCATCAAATTAGAAAGAAGGTGTTGGCATTGTCTCGTTCTTATTCTCATTCCACATGTAATTTTAATCCCAATGGTTGATTAAAATTTTGAAAAATAAAAGTCACCATTAAAGGTGGTTCGAAACTTCGATTTCAGAAATTGAGTTTTTCGATTTGGTAGTTGTTTGGATTGGGTGTTGTCCCAATTGATTGGAATCATCAAGAGAAGTTCAAAACTTAAATTTGAATTGATTTGTAGTAGGTTTAAGCTTGATTTGAGTTAAATTTCAGAGGATGCCCAAGGAAGAAGAAGAACACGTGAAGCTCCCTTGATAGGATTCATTTGTATAATAATGTATAAACACCTCTTATACACTGTTGTATATAAGGTTGATATATTATTTATAGGTATTTGATGAATCTTCTACACCTATATACATAGTGTATCACGAATATTTTCACTACTATGATTTACATCTTTATATAACTACTAGTTTTAGGGTACGCGCGTTGCGCGTGTACTTTATATCAATAAATATAAAATTTTAAAAATTATACAAATATAATAAACCATCTGATTGAGTTATAAAATAAAAATTTAAAAAGCACAAGCTTTTGAAAATAAAGAATATTAATCATATTTAGCCAACTTAATAAAAGAAAAAATTGCGTAACGCAAAAGTATTCTAATTAATGTCGCACTTAGAAATTTTATTTACTCGAGTAACCAATATGAATTTCAAGTATTCCCGTCAAAACTCAAATAAGAGAATACAAAAATAAAAAGAAATTTCATATTGTTAGCTTTAGTTAACATACGTAGAATATAATTGGATTAGTAATATTTAAACCCCAACTAAATTGTTTCTAGACAGAAATAGAATAATTGTCATAAAAAAATAAGGTAGAAAATTAATGTGTATTATTATTTTATCCAACAAGAAATGTATCGTAATGTAATATAATTCTCGTCATCTCGTGTCTATTAAAACTTCATGCAAATATAACATGAATATTCTTATAAATCATCACAGTAGTGTTTAAAGTATTTATTTTTATCTATATATACATTTTACGAGTTTTTGTGTGTTATAAAAGACAATTATAATTAACTAATTAAAATTATCAAGTTTCTTTTCATCTCTAGTCTCTTATCAAAATTTCTTTTGTCTCTTGTCCTTAGTAAAAATATATCAATCGCCCGGCTATCAAGGGTGGTAATTGAAATCTAATCTAAAAGGTTAAATATATATAGCCACCAACGAATTAAAGTAGTTCTAAACCCTACCAAAAGATAGAAAAATATAGTTCAGAATGGTACCAAAAGTTTGAAATCCTTCAAGTTATTTTTCATGACAATATCAACTGATTGCTTCTTCCTACCCATATTTGCTTTTCAACATCTGTGTCTTAAAGTATAAGGGAGTCATTGTTCCAGCTCCTTTTATTGCAACAGAATTCTCCAAAACTCTATTAATAGATATGGATTAAACACCAACATAAAAGAAGAATATAGTGTTAGAAAATTATGAACCGCAATTAAAGAAGAACTGCTATCTAAATAAATCAATCTCAAAAAATAAATCATGGAATTATAGTTTTTATGAAATACTACTAACCTGTTGTGTCAAGCCATCAATCTGCAACTTATACATATTTGCAACATTAATTCATAATTTACGGATATGTCTTGCAGTTTCTGTAGATTATTAGAGTTTAATAGGTTCCAAAATATGATGGAAAAGAAAACGACTTCTAAACCTAAAATGAACGAACGAAGAGAAGTCTCCCTTTGAATTTAAAGTTTAGTAGGTTATCAAATTATGAGAAAAAAAAGGTCTCCTAAACCTAAAAGAATAGAAAGAAGTACTAAATATTAGGAAAATTATTAAATATCTATTCTTAGATATTAGAAAAATAATTAAATTACTATTTTGTCTAATGTGAAATTAACTTTTGAAGGGTATAAAAGGCGAAAGACATTTCGATAGGGCCTTCGTGCTTTTAATATAGTACTAAATTTATAACATGTTTGGCCAAGCTTCTAAAATCAGCTTATTTTGAGAAGTACTTTTCGCAAAAGTACTTTTCAAAAAAGAACTTTTGGTGAGAAGTAGTTTGTGTTTGACTAATTAATTTGAAAAACACTTTTGAGCAGTAATTAGTGTTTGGCCAAGCTTTTGAAAACTGCTTCTAAGTGTATTTTTCTCAAAAGTGCTTCTCAGAAAAGTGCTTTTGGAAAGAAACTATTTTTTTCTGCTTCTCAAAAACTGCTTCTGCTTCTCCTCAAAAGCACTTTTTTCCATCTAAAAGCTTGGCCAAACACCCAAAAAAAAGCTTGGCCAAACATGCTATTAGTGTACGTGCGTTGCACGTGTATTTTGCATCTATCAAGAAAAAAATATAGAATATATAATATAGAGTAAGAATGAATTATGAATAATAGTAATTGCCGTCGAGATAAACGTAATATTCATTTAAATGGTAAAATGAGTATTACATTAATATAGTGATTGAACTCATCAAAGTCTAATCCATTATCCATCTTTAGTATTCAATGGAATATCTCAGCTACATCGAACCAATTTGTCATCTATACATGCTTCACATTAAAAATTAGCCAACCTCACTTGTGAATTCCAAAATATCCCCATTTGTGAATTTCAAAATATCCCACTGAAATCTCTTCTATTTTTTAAATTTATTTTTTTCCTATCTTTTTCTTTCCACCACCTTTCTGCTATCAAAATCAATCTCAAGACTTGACAGTTTATTATTTTTAACATCTTAATTTTCGTTTGATACTTTGGATCAATATATTTAGACTACTGGTCATAAAATCAAGAAAATAACATAATATTCACCAACTCAATAGGAAAAAATAAATCAAGCTTAGAAAGAAGATATATAGAAAATATAGTGCCAAAGTTGATGTCAGAAGAAAATAGGAGACGTTGAGTCGTCAGAAATTGGGACCTAGTCGTAACTTTTGAATTTCTATTTTTAGCCAATATGTAATTGTTGTGTTCTATTCAAGTTTTAATAATTTAACTTTACAAATCCTAATCCTAACCAAAGAAAAATTTAAAGAATCCTATCGATCCCTAAATGCACGGCAGTTTTTTATTTTTCTCCAAAATTAAAATTATTGATGATCACAGTTACAATTATATCCAACTTAAAATGCACATAACAAGGGTTAAAAAAGCGAACGATATTTCGATAAGGAGTTTCGTATTTTTAATATAGTATAGAGTATATATAAGTCTTTGGGTAAGCGCTTTGCGCGTGTACCCATATCAATAAACATAAACTTTTTAATAATCACATTGATAAATTATTTTAAAATTATATTTAAATTATAAAATAAAAATTAAAGAAAAATATTTAAGTTCATGAAAATGATAAATGACCTTGGTTAACCAATACATTAAAGGAAGAAACCATACTCAACAAAAGTCATCGAGATATAGGCAATGAAGCTACTCCATCATAAGTTGCATCATTACTTATGATTGGTCTTTTTATAGTTTTGTTATCTTTTCCTCTAGACAGATAGTAAAGAAAATCCTTATTTCAAATAAAGACTTCAAATAACTACCTACTACTAATTCTAAACCTAATAATAGATACTATTTGTAGAGAAATAAATTGTAGAAATACTGACTTTAAGAATAGCAAAAAACAAATAATATAAATTATCAATTAAACTTCTAAAAGAAACACTTACCGAACTAAATGCTATAGCTGCTCACTCAACGGGATAATTTACATTCCTTCTTTGTAACTAAAGATGATGGATTCTTGTACTTCAAGCCATAATCACTCCCGCTTCTTAACTACATCCAAAGTTGGAGAGAGTAATTTCCTATGCTCAAATTCCATTGTCGAAGTGAAGCAGAGAATCAACTTTAAGAATAAGTAATATTTTTTTTACTGTAAATTAAAACACCCACAATAATAAAAAAATTAAAACAAAATAATAAACTAATCTTCATAAAATACTCTTTAAAGTAAGTTTAAGAAAACTATTAAAAGATACACGAATTGTTAGGAGTTGAAAGAAAGATATTGTGAATCACATGCTTCTAGGAATCCATTCCCACGTAACAACTTTCCTAATAATTTTGCATACGTGTCTATCCATAAATTGTGACTCTCTCCATCCAATTCACCAGTTATAATTATACAATCACTAACAAGAAAATCATATAAATAAAAAAATGCCCGTAAAGGACATAAAGCATTGATGAGAGCTTACATATAATAATAATAATAATAATAATAATAATAATAATAATAATAATAATAATAATAATAAGCCAGGGATTATTATTGAAGCAGACATACAACACTTCCGGTAAAATCAACCATACCTCTACCAGAAAACCAACAAAATATTAAAGAAAATTAACAATAAAATCAATACACCCAAATATAAAATAGAAAAATAAAGTAAAGAATCAAAGATCCTTAGGTGTTTCATTCAGTCCCTCAAGAGAAGATTTCTCATTAATAACTTCAGATTTCGTACACCGCTTTGTGAGATTTTCAATACTGGAGTACTTGCTTCGGTGTTATTTAT